ATTCAAAAAATATATTGGTAAAGTATCGAATTAAATGGTACTCCAATATTTGATTAAAAAGTTGTAATATTTGTTTTTAATATTGTATAAAAATATATTAATTAGTCGTGCTTTAAAAAAATAAATCGTAAATATTTTATTAAAAATTATAATATTTGTTTCTAAAATTATAGCAATTAAAAATAAAAAAATATCAATACAAAATAAAAATTTTATTCAAATTTCACGACAAATGAGAATTATAATTTCGATTCAAAATAAATTAGAATTTTGAAGGCACATCAACACCAACTTGTAGGTTACTATCTTCTCTTTAGGAGAAGAGACATTCTATTTAAAAAAGATTGTAAATATGTTAATTGAACGAAACTTAGAGTAGTTTGTTTGCTAGAGGCAATGCTACATTCAAAAGAACTTAGAATTTGGTGTAAAATAAATTCCATTAAAACATAGGCCAACATAATTTGCAGTAGAAAAATATATTATGCCAAAACCAATGTTGATATGACATACAATATATGAAAGCAATAATAATATACATATACATAATTTGAATCAAATCTTGTTAAAAACATTCTTCTATAGAACCAGAAAATGATCGCATATCAATGTTGGTTTTATCATCTTATACATCTTAGATAATTATGGCATTGCTTATGGTTCTTCTGAAATTGGTAGTGAACTTCAGCAACACCCGCTACTCTTGAACCTTTAAAACATATTACTTTAGAACTTCGGGTGAATAAGAGTCTCATCCCTTTGACTATCCTCATGTTCATCAAAATCTCGTTCCTCTTTCAAAAACAGAATCTCGTTCCTCTTCCAAAAACAGTTCCTCCAAACATTGCAATGAGACATTTGCATTTACTATCTGTCAGAAAATACAATTAGTATATAATCAGTACCTGCCAATGAAAGCCATTGATATTCCTTGTGGAAGCATAAAATTCAATGGTTTCAATTTCCTAATCTTCAATTACGGCTGTAGATGGAAATCAAATGCTCGGGAAATCAAATCATCTGCACCATATTGAACATATATTTACTATTATAAGGTTAACTATCAAATAACTTGAATGAAAATATAAGTTAACAATTGGCTTTGATGATGAATCAAATGTGAAAATCGACTCGATTAAGTAGATTTAAAATAGTGGTCTCTGGTTCTGTTGTGGCAGTCTCCAATTCTTCTTTAGCAATATTTTTGTTTGTGAAATTAGAGAAGCAAATGGTCACTCAGCCATGACCATGGTGAATATTGGCACTTAAAATGCTACGACAACTCTGCAAACAATAATATTATAAATTATTAAAACTAAAAACAAATTGTTTATTTCTTGGACATGATAAAAAGCCACGCCATAAACTTCAGGCCAATTTGAATTCATGGGAGAAGGCCGGTGACAACCCTGTCCATCATTGCACACAGTGAGTTTAGGAAGATCATTGGTGCAACAGATGTCCTGTTGACCCCCATAAGCCGAACCACTAATCCTCTCTCTATCTTCAACCTCGAAAACAAATGCTTGAATCGACCATGAGGTAAAGTTTGAAAATTCCTTGTTATGACAGATTGTGACTATATTAAACTTGTTTTCACATGACAAAATCAAATCGCAATCAGCATAATTTCATTTTACGTATCAATCCATTTGTTGATTGGTCCCCTATTGATTCAAGTGTGAAATCAATTATCAGCCTCCATATCCATACATATTCCAAAAGAAGAACCGATTAAATCAAGAAAATAAATACAAAAATCTCAATTAGATACAAATAAATATAATAGTAAGCAAAATAAACAACAAAATTGATGAGAATATACTGCCTTCTTTTATCAAACATGTGATGGGAGAAATTGAAATCTAAATAGATTAATAATAAATTGAAAGAGGAAGCAAAAGAAATAAGCTTCTATCTATTTGGAGAATCAATCGTAAATATATATGTGTGAGCTTTGTATTCACCAAGACTAAACAAATAAAAAAAGCCAAAACTCAACCTCATATTTTAATTAAAAAAATTAAAAAAATTGAGAAATAAAATCTGAATAAAAAAAACATACCTAACAGCAAAAAATAAACAATATCATGGTTGTGTTGTACGTCACATGCAAGCTCAAAAATCCCCTTCTGCAACTCTCAAACCTAAAGATAAAGATATCCCATTTTAGGTGTCAAGTTAAACTTCTTTTTTTTGGAAAAGGAGAAATAGTAAGACAACCCTGAAAACGAAAAGAATACAACATAAAATATGATATTTCAAACTACATTTCAGTTTCAACTTTCAATCACATGTTTCAATCACTCACCTTCGTCACTTACATATGTATGAATCAAATTAACGTTAAAAATTGTATTTGAAGGAAATTCTTTTATAGATCTATAACGGGTGTTATTGGTTATTGATGTTGTTGAGATTCAGAGGTCTTGGTTGTGACCACCATTCTTACGCTTGAACGTCTGAAACAAATAAATTAACAGGTTAGGATGAGAATATTAGATGATTGAGATTACAACGAAACGAAATTGGTAGCAACAAAGAGAGGAGAATGAAAAGAGATGGAGCGGCGCAGGAAGAAGATGAAATTAGGTAAGAAGATGAAATTAGGTTTTCTGATTTGTGTTTTAATAGAGTTGGGTGAATGAGTTATTTGTTGTATCTTGGGAAAAACGATTTCTTTGGAATTGGAATTCTCAATCATTAGAATTCAAATTCTGTCCAAAAAAAAACATTGGAATTCAAATATAAATAAATTAACCGTGAATGAAACATTGGAATTGAAATTCAAATATAAATAAAATTTAAATATAAATAAAATAAATTAATAAATCAAATAAATAAAAAATAGTGTAAAATTATGATAGATTACATGTCAGCAAAATTAAATGTCAAATGAATATGGTAACAACATAGTGTTGATTAGTCTATTATACCCTTGGAATAAGAAAAGTTATAACATCTAATCAAAAGGTTAGACTTGGAATTTCCAAGTATTTTACTTTTAATAGATTGATAATAAATTTTACACTATTTTTTATTTATTTGATTTATTAATTTATTTTATTTATATTTGAATTTTATTTATATTTGAATTCTAATTCCAATGTTTCATTCACGGTTAATTTATTTATATTTGAATTCCAATGTTTTTTTTTTTACAGAATTTGAATTCTAATGTTTGACTCACGGTTAATGAGGAAGGAATTGGAATGACCAAATTAGATCTATTATAATTAAATGGAATATTATTCATTGCATGATTTAAAAATACTCACTATTTATCATTACACTACCAGATTAAATGTATATTATTGGAATTAGAATGAATTATTTTGATATTCCAAGATATCACAACTTCCCATGCATTCTAAACCCTATATATAGTCATTCTAAACCCTTACTCTTTCACTCCTCAATCTTCTTCATTCTCCATTATTTTCAAAAGGTTACACAGATTTTGTAACAGATCTAAATAGTAACAGGTCTAAAGTATCTTGAAAAACCAAAACTATCATTTTGACTTCAAATTTTAATTTATCTTATTATAGGGTTAATTATGTCTTATTACAAACTTACTTCTCTTATATTGAACTAACATTTATTATTGTTTATGTGTCACTTCAACATTTTTTCATATCAATTTTTGTTTTATTTTAAAAAACCACTTTTCGTTTTCCAATTGAAAATTTTCTCTATCCTAAATACATTCAATGTGTTATACGTCATTATACCATTAAACAATTAAATACACTTTTTTGGAACAATACAAAATAAAAGATATTCCAAATAGATTTCAAAACAATCAACCCATTCTTTCATATTTCAAAACAATCAAATGCAACCATAAATATACACCCAGTTTCCATTCCTAACCCAAAATCCATCATCTTCTTCTCATAACAACTCAAAAGTCACATTGACAGATGCAAAGTCATTTGATACCATAGTCACCGATTCCTTTCCTCTTTCCTTCCCAAACCTCCACTCATAGATTCACACTCTCACTATCGACAACAATCTCAACAAAAATCTCACTCTTTTGCAAAATCAATATTTCTTCGACACCTCTGACGCAAACCACCACCGTCGGAGCCACCACTATCGAAAATAACACCCATCCCTCTGTCGCCAAAACTGTACCAAATGATAAATAATTTTGGATTAATTGAATAGCAATGTTGTAGTGATGGATCTATCATTACAGGTAAGATTTAGGGTTTGTATTTTTTATTGTGTTCCAAATTTGTTTAGGGTATGTATCCCCAATGATCCCGATTTTGCAGTCAATGATCCCGATTTTGATATCGAGAGTTAACCAAGTTGATTTCTAGAATCCGGTGAGTTTGGTTTGCCTCTCTTCAACTTCTTCTTCTTAGATTTCTCTGTGTAGGCTTAGAATCAATTGATAGTTGTGGCTAAGTTATATGTTTGTTGTGTAGAAAAAATAGGTTGACTCTTAGGTTTTCTGAGCTTTGGTGAGGAGAGGTTAAGAGATTTTCGCAGAGCTTTTGGTGTGCTTTTGTTGCCCCTAAAATAAGTGAGAGGAATGGAGATTAAATACGGATGATTAGCATCGGTTTCCTTGAGGGTTGGAACGAGGAATTGAAATTTTAGGATAGGTTTGGACTGAGGTTTTGATGAGTGTAGGTTTGGATTTCTGTTAGAAGTGGGTTTGGAGAATGCTAAGGATAAGAAGTTTGGACTGAGGTTTTGATGAGCATAGGTTTGAATTTCTGTTAGAAGCAGGTTTGTAGAGTGGTATAGATAAGAGGTTTGGAATTGGTTAGAGAGTGGGGAAGAATGTCCCTGATTTTGTGGGATCATTGTGTGCAAACCGTGAATTTTTTTGTGTATTTGTGTTTTCTATTTTTCTGCTCATCTGTACCGTGGGAAAAATGCACTTGATTGATCATTCTCTTGCTAATTATACCATTGCTTTGTCTTATTCTTACTACTGTTAAACAATAATAGTGAGTCGAAAAATACATTTAAAGGGAATGCCACTCTCACCTGATCACAATTTTGTAATGTCAAATTTTCAATTCTATAAATAAAGAAACCATCACTACAAATTATCATATCTAAGAAATTCTCTATCTCTTATTATTGTGCAAATATTAACATACGGGACGACTGGTGGGAGATTTAAGAAAAGAGAAAACCTGTTTGTTGAGGAAGCATTTCAACGCATGGCATTGGATCATCTTCTTAAGATTGCTGGTATAACAGATGATGATTTTTTGATTATGTTTGATGTTGATGATATACCTCATTCATATTTTGCAGTTCATGTCGGATGATGTAAAGTTGTAATATGGTTTTCTCCGGAAATGTAAAGTTGACAGTTTTCTCCATTCTATAAAATGCAAAACAATCACCTGTCAATTATTTAATAAACTAAACATGTTTCTTGGTATGAATTTAGTGATTCTTACATTTAAGTTAGCTTGCAACATCTTTTTAATCATGTTCATGTTTGCACCTTCCGACTTCGAGTTCAAGGAAGATAGACAATTTATCTAACTCTGAATTTGACTCTTTTGTCATTGACTTAGTTTTCCTTACCCTATCTATTTTTTAAATATTGATGTTAAATATGCAATGTTTCAACATCAGGTTGTTGATATGTTTGGATGTGGGCTGTCGATTTGTGTTGTTTCATATTTTTGGTAAGCTATGCATTTCTTTGAAAATTGATGATTATATTTTTTGAGCTTACATGTTATGTTTGTTCATTTAAACTTCAGTCAATGTTATGTTATAACTTATCCAGAAAAATTAGGTTACATAGACAAACAATGTAAACCTTGAATAATTTCAGGAATTATTTTCTGGCTGGAAGGAATAAAATACATGATTGGGAAAGGAACATAACTACTCAAGTTACATGTAAATTTTTAAACTTTTATTCTAGGATCATGGCATCTTGAACCATGTAGAGGTATCAATCTAATCATGGCATCTTTAATGTTGTAACTCTTTGTATTTTGGACATACTCTGTCATTTCATATTCTCGAATCTCAAATGGATTTATGTAATTTTTCATTTTTCTCCCATAGTTGAGAACAACTTATGAATAGACTGCAAAATGTGAAAAATTGAGTTTATGTCATCCTACTTATGTTTAAGATTCACTTTTGCAGGTTTGAATGTGCAAGACCCGTAATTCTATCCAACTTAATGTGTTTTGAAGACCAAGTTTTGCTATGGAATAGTGTTACCTAGATATTTTTTTTCTTTTGTTTTGTTGTTGTTTACCTGTTTATGATTCTTATTATGAACGATTCAACTCTGTTTTATTGTCTTAATGCAATTTTAGCATAATTTATTCAATATATTAATCCTATAATAATGTATTTGTTGCAATTATTCATTAAACTCATTCAACTTAAAGCTTTTAGGAGTAATGTCAGATTGCTATCAACAATTATATCCCGTGGTCATGATTTGCCCAATTAGAAAGGGCAATTCACACCTGCAAACAAAAGCACCATTATTTAGTCTACAACATGTCATTAATTGTTTGGTTTTATGACATGTCATTATTAAAAAATTTATTTGAACTTTAACTAAATTTTATTTGAACATATAGCAGTAACGTAAACGATATTTATAAATAAAAAATTTATAGAATAAAAAAATTATTTAAAAACAGTAACGTAAAGGATAATTATAAATCAAAATTTTATAAAATAAAAAATAATTTAAAAACTATCATTGCAATAAACGTTAAGTTAAATTAAATTAAAAATATTAAATTAAAAATATGCTTTGTTATGCTCTGTTAATGAAAATGAATTATTCATAAAAATGAATTAAATTTAAATCAAAATATAATAATTGTATTTAAAATTCTTCTTTAGTATAGCACAAGTTTCTTACTAGAATTTGCAATTTTAAAAATTAGAACCACTCTCATATATTTTTATAAATAAAACAAATTAATTTTATTTAATTAATTTTATTCATATATTTTAGTTTTTCAATCTAAAACATTTTCATTATAGTATTTAGTTTTTCATTCTAAAATATGAATAATTTAGTTTTTTATTTTTAAAATATTTAGTTTTTCAATTTGAAATATTTTTATTACAAAAAGTAAATTTATAATTGTCTTTCTTATCTTAATGTGATATGTTTATACCAGGTTTTGGTTACTACAAATTTATTTTATTTTTAGAATTTTAATTAAAAATTCTTACTCAAAATAAAATATATTTTGTAATTTTTTAGATTTTTAGAAGTAAGTTCATATTAATATGAAACACAATTAAATAAAAATATAGTCATTTAGTTTAAAAATTTTGGGATCAATTAATGGATCACTTTATAATTATGGTTGATGCTAAAAATAAAATATTTAATTATAGAATTAAATATAATTTTAATCTTATAAATATTTATAATGATTTTTGTGTACAAATCACCTTTTGTGTTCTAAGTTATTTTAAATTGTACTATAGTAATTGATAGACGAATTCCTTATAATAAGAAGTGTCTCAATGTCTCAACTCTCAAGTAACTATAATATGTGTGTCTTTTTGAGAACTACTTTCACTGAGACAATGAATTTGAGTAGAGATTTATCCATTATTATGCTGTTAGTCTATAATAATAAATGTTTTTTATTTGTAGATATAATTTGTTAAGAAGTTAATACTAGAAGCTGGTGGTGGTTGTTCTAGAAGAAGGATTTTTTTATACCAACAATCTCTCGTAAAATGAATCTTCTAATGTAAATTGTGACTATCATGAAAGATACATCAACGCATTCAAATAGAATTTTTTAACAAAATTTGATTAACATTAAAAACTTAATATTTTTTTGGACAAGTATATTAATCTAAGAGTTTTTTTTATTTCTCAATTTAATTGCGGTACATTTCCCATCTTAATGAAAATCATTCCAGATATAGATTCACGGGTAGACGTGAACGTATCTATGAGATATCGACTGTAGACTGATAATTTTAATGTCTATCTTTAAAATCTTTCTTATGCTGCTATTTTATATAATTGAATTTATAGAATTAATTATATCATTTATTATAAATATGAATCAATATTTAAAAATTAATGCATATTATTAATCTATATTTAAAACTATGTATATGTTAACTACATGAATAAGTAAAGATAAATTTTATAAATTTTACAAGGAAGTCTTTCAAGCACTTTGATAGTTGGTAAACTTTATATCTTATACTTTACGATTCAAATTAAAAATCTATTTTGAATTAAAATATATAGTATGTACATTTTCCATGTATTTCAAGAAGTATATAATTTTTCCTATTTGTTCATGCAGACGTGATTTGTTGATAGGACCGACGCTTGCTACAAATATGGAGTTAAATGCCAACATGGTTTACATGAGACATATACTCAACTGAAAACATGGTAACATACTTAATAATTTAATAATCTATAAATGTAATGTGAATCCAGACGAGACCCGTGCGATAGCACGGGTTTGTTACTAGTTAGGTTTAATATTAATTAAATGCAAAAAAGGACCAAAATTCTTTCTTTCTCAAAAAGGGTCAAAACCCTAAGGACTTCCCCGATTTAATTTCTTTGCGCGCATATTAATTTTTGATCATATTTATGTAATTGCTCCGAGAATGTAATAGATAATTAGGACCTTTTTATCGCTTTCTTTTAATTTCCCGCAATTTATCTTTTCAAGGGTTATGTTTTTGGCGATGTAAATACCCGACGCCTTGTAATAGCGTAGATTTACTTTCCGCAATTTACCTTTCTGCAAATTATTAACTGTTAATTATGCATGACAAGACTTGTATGAAATTAAAATCAAAATGTAGCTCACCATGACATGCGCAAAGATAATATAAACTGAAATTTGACACACTCGCACATGCCACTCCTAGGGTACGCCTCACTTGGTTGCCTCAACGTGGTCATTGAGTATAGGGTGTTTTAGAGGCCGCCCTCCTGTCTAAAGATCAAAGTTGCCTCTAAACGGTTGCCTCGGATAAAAAAAGATCTAAGACATTAGGGTTACCGCTAAGGCGTCCTACTATTGCTTTGGTGACCACACGTCCCTATAATCGAATTGACCCGAAAACTCCAACGACGGTGCTACCTACTTCTCAATAGTGGGATAACACTGTCTAAAGGACATTTACACAGCTTAATTTCTTTTGAGTAGGTAGAGGTTCTCAGGTACTTGCTCTTTCAAAACAAAAATACTTTTCGCACCTACACTTTTCTGACAAAAGTTTTCAAACAAACACTTCATACACTCTTAAGGACTGATACAAGAGTTAAAACGAAGTTTTCAAACAAACTTTTTTCAAAACCCACAAACACAAGAAAAGCAAACATTTTTGAAAACATAGTGAGCAAGTACCTAAGAGTTCGTGGATAACCACAGATAGAAAGGGTACTAACACCTTCCCTTTCTATAATCTACCTCCCGAACTGAGAAACATCTCGAAAAGGAATTTTGCTGTGCTTTTATCCTTTCCTTGTTGGAGAAAATAAAAGACGGTGGCGACTCTTGCTTACCGCGACATTTCGCGAACCAACATTTCAAAACAGTCAGTTCTATTTCCACCGATCACAGTCCTCTTGTCCAAAGATCATAAGTTGCCTCGAAACGGTTGCCTCGGATAAAATGATCTAAGACACTAGGGTTACCACTAAGGCGTCCTAACATTGCTTTAGTGACCACACGTTCCTTAAATCGAATTGACCCAAAAACTCCAACAAAGACGCTACCTACTCCTCAATAGTGGGATAGCATTGTCTAAAGGACATTAGCACAGTTTAATTCCTTTTTGAGTAGGTAATTGTTATTAAGTACTTGCTCCTTTTAAAACAAAACAAAAAACTTTTCACACTTACACTCTCTTCAAAAACAAAACTCTTTCCAAAACCCACAAACACAAAGAAAAGCAAACTTTTGAAAACATAGTGAGCAAGTACCTAAGAGCCCGTGGATAACCACGGATAGAAAGCGTGCTAACACCTTCCCTTTCTATAATCTACCTCCTGAACCCAAGAAATATCTCAAAAAGGAATTTTTTTGTGCTTTTGTCCTTTCCTTGTTGGATAAAATAAAAGACGGTGGCGACTCTTGCTTACCGCGACATTTTGCGAAAACAAACGCAAACGCGAACCAGCATTCCAAAATAGTCAGTTCTCATTCCCACCGATCACACATGGCATATCATGGCTAACCATTTCAAGGATTTCCTAGGGCTCATTTTTGCCTTGTTTTGTAGGACATGGCATCTTCCCGTAGGAACACTATACAGATCAACCTTGTGAAAGTGTCTCTCCAACTAAAGGACCTGGCATTAAGGGTTCTTGAAAGTTCTCATTTCACTAAAAAGCATGGTCAGTTGCTCAATTTGGTCACTGCAAAACCTGATGAAGAGTTATTAAAAGTGTTGTTTCAGTTCTTCGATCATGTGCACCATTGTTTCACCTTCCCGGATTACCAGCTAGTACCTACTATGGAGGTATTTTCTCAGTTGTTTGGGGTGCCTATTCTTGATCAGTTACCTTTAAACGCTACGGAAGAACATCCAAAGCCTGAAGAAATTGCTAGAGCTTTGTCCTTACAACGATCTAACATAGTGACAAATTAGGAGACTAGAGGGAATGTCCAAGGAATTCCGATTAAGTTTCTATTCGAGAAGGCCTACCATTTTTGGGATACCCTAGATTTACAAGCTTTCGAAGAGGTGTTGGCACTTCTCGTTTATGGGACGATACTCTTCCCTAATGTGAATCAACTCGTAGATGTGAGCACTATTAAGGTTTTTCTGTCTCATAATCCAGTGCTTACATTACTCGGGGATATTCTGCACTCTTTGCATGCTTGCACTCTAAAGAGAAGGGGGACCCTTCTGTGTTGCACTCCTCTATTGGCTAGGTGGTTTATTTCGCACCTACCCA